CGATCCCAAGCGGACCGTAGGGAAAACCGAAGCAGAGCTTCCAAAGCTGCACATAAAATTCAACTGGCCATGGCAGAAAGCATGGGCAGAAAAGCATGCAAAATGAACAAGCCAAGGTCCCTGTGTTCTGTGGTATGAAAGTAGTCACAAGATGCCTCCATAGCACTGAACGAATAACTGGTAGCCATTGTCATATTCATCATTTTCTTGAGGACTCACGAAATTTGAAGAAAGTCACAGAACAAAAGCATTTGTTTAAGGAAATCCAGAACATAGATCCCAATGTAATAATGCCCTGCCTATGACATCTAATCACTGAGTAACACATCTTTGAGGTACCAAGCATGGCTTTATGTACCAAGACATAGCCATCTTTTTTTTTTTTTAGGTTTTTTTCGAGACAGGGTTTCTCTGTGTAGCCCTGGCTGTCCTGGAACTCACTCTGTAGACCAGGCTGGCCTCAAACTCAGAAATCCACCTGCCTCTACCTCCCAAGTGCTGCGATTAAAGGCATGTGCCACCACTGATCGGCAGATATGGCCGTCTTAATTCTAGTGCTGTTGCTTTCACAATCTAAGCAGTGACAGAGCCTCCATATTCCATGTCAACCCTTAGCTAAGTGACTCCCACTGAACTCTGAAAATTGTCCATAAAGATATATACAGATACATCCCAGTGATGACAAATTATTTCTTAGTAAATGAGGTATCTGAACAGAGATAAGACACTTTCTAAAGGATGAGATGCAATGGATTTTGCAACTGAAGACTAGACATAGAGCAGAGAGAAATAAACATGGCCCAGTTCTAACAAGGGTTGCCGAGGAAAATCAGCTTAATCCAATACCATCATCCTTCCTCAAGCGACACTCAGAGAATCACAAAGGGATGGCTTCAAAACAAAGAGACTGGGGATTCTTTTTTCAGATTTTCCAATTTCCACAGAACTATAATTGTTTCCTAACCCTCGTGTGTCACGGAGCAAGCCTCCTAACCCAATTAAGCCAGCCAGCCAGATGCCCACAATTACTCCTTCGAATCCCACTAAGATCATGTGCTGAGTCAGACAAGAAAGATCTCTACAATGGACGCCAGAAACATGCTGATGATCTCATGAGTCACATATGACCATACCTCCACAAATATACTTCAGCATGCACAGGTTGGGCAACGGGGTAGGTAGTTTCTCTATTAACAAAGAGATCCCAAAAAAGATCAGAATTTAAAATCTATTTCCCCATTTTCTCTAGAATGAGTCAAACCTCCCCTCATACCAAGAATGTATCTTTCCCACTGGCTAAGAGAGAAGCCATAGCAACTGTGAGACACTACACAGGTGAGAAACCTAACGTATTCTAACCTGTCATTACCTCCACTAGAAACTGCCTTCTCTCTACCTAAACAGAATCCTTCTCCTACTCTAGTGGGCTAAGACATGTCATATAGATTTTTTTTTAAATTGGCATCCTGGGCCATATACTACAGTATCATATGGTGTGATTTCATTTATAAACGGAAGAAATGCCAGGCAAAATTAATCTAGCCCTGTTATAAAATCAGGGGTGTGTTTACGTTTACTGAGGGATTAGAATCAGGAAGGTGGCAGGAGAGAGGCCACAGGGGTGTTGGCAACATTCCACTTATTGATCCATGTGCATTAGTATATGCCATCGGAGAAGCATCAAGCTGTAGAGTGAATACACACTACCCTGCAAGCATATGAAACTTTAATTCCTTTCAAATTTAGCTTCTCCACAGCTTGTGGTTTACTACTAAATTATGTTTATCTCTTCCTGAAACATACTCAGAAGCCATTCAGAGCTCTGGAATTTCTCTAGCCAATTTGTAATGCAATAGATATAAATAATAAATACATAAATACACAGACTGGAACCGTCTTTCCTAATGTGTCATCAATCAAACAAGCGTCTCCAGGCTGTCACATACAATCTCCTTCCAAATGAATGGCTAGTGAAAGAAACAGGTATATACATAGAAGTATATCTTTACCAAATCTATAAGTCCCTTTTGAAAGGGAAACAGCAAAGAATTCATTACTATGGATGGGGATTTCTGGAATATAGAATTTTTAACACTCTACAGAGTCAGTTCATTGACTATAAATGATGGCTATATTTCGTTAGCACAAGATTCGGGGGTCAAAATCTTTTATGATGCTGCTGCTGTTTCTTTCATTAAACTAGAGTATGGTAAATAAAATGACAATAACAAAAAGAACCCGCACAGAACAGGAGTAGGAAGACAAATAGTATATAAATCTCCAGAAATTCAACCTAGGAGCAGCCAAGAGCACCCCTGCCCGGCTGCTGACTCATCTCCTCTGAGCTGAAGTTTAAGCACACCTGCAGTACTTTCTTTTCTGCAAAAAGAACTACTCAAGTAATTGATACCAACAAAAGGTCTGGACCGAAGTCAATCCTGGGCCTCCTGCATGAGAGCATCCTGATTCTCTCTGATAAACATCATTTCACTGTGTGAATCAAATGAGTTGGAAGAACAGGTCATCTTAAAACATCTTTTATTTTTTTCATTGCGTACCGAAATGGAGCTTCTGATGAGATAAGTAGTTAAAACTAAGACTGTTCTTTTTCCTTTTTGCTTGGGGATTTTCTTTTTTAAATCCTTTTAAAAAAAGATAGACAGATGGCTGAGTGCAGTCAATCACCACAAAACTAATGCAATGTCTCTTCTTCAGCAGTTCGCAGTGCTTTCTCAGCCACCATTCTCCCTTCTGTTCTGCTCTTGCCACTTAAACTCTAAACGTGGGGAGAGGGGAGCCTGCACAACACCGAAGCCCTGAGTAAGGAGATCTTCACATGCATGTTGCATATATAAATGTTTCACAGCTCCATGGTGTTAAAAAAGTGAAATGGACTCAAGAGACAATACACAATTTTGAATTTTGATCCTTGTCAGAATAGCACTAAGAGAGCTAACCCCCTCACACACTGGGCAGCAGTATCCAGATGCAGCAGCTATGGACAACATCACCAATCAACAGACATACCAAGAAGCTGCACTTCTAACCAGGCTATTACATCCCCTAAGCTGGATGTAGCAAATGCATCTTTGACTCAGAATATTTCCAATTCATGATGGGTCTATGAAACATAATCTCATCCTAAGTCAAAGGGCATTTGAACACAGCTCTGGACCTGGATATTAGTTTCACCCATTAGTTATCACATGCGGACCTCACTGTGCGTTGCAGCAGGCTGCTGTAGCTGTAACAAAGTTTCTCAAGCTTCCCGTTCTTCATCTCTGTAGCAGACACACCTACCCCATCCTGAAACTGTGAGAATCAGATGATACAATGTATAGCAAGCAACTAACACTACACCCGGTATTTAGTAAGTGGTCAGTAACTTGTAACCAAGTTTGCAGTAGTAGGGATAACTTTTCTCTTTTAAAAAATCAACTTTACAGCCTAGTGTGATAGCATGTACCTCTAATCCCAGCACTTGGATAAGAAATTAGAGGGCATCCTGTCCACATAAGGAGTTCCTCATACTATCACTTCAAAAATACAAAATTCATAGTGAGGAATCCAAAACTAAGATTGTCTTTTAAAGTCATTTAAATAAAATGTGTTATTGTAGATGGTGTGGTGGTTTGAATGGAAATACCCACCATAGGCTCACATACTTGAATACTCTCTGTTCCTAGTTGGTGGAACTGTTTGGGAAGGATTAGGAGATGGGCTTTTTTGCAGGAAGGGTGTCACTATGGTGGACTTCAGTTTCAAAAGACTAATGCCATTCCAAGTTAGTCTGTCTCTTCCTTGTGGTTGTGTCTCAGGATGTAAGCTCTCAGCTATTGCTCCAGCATCATGCCTGCCTGCCTGCCTGCCTGCCTGACTGACTGACTGACTGACTGCCTGTCTGCCTGCCTGCCTGCTGTCATATTCTGACCTTGATGATATTGGACTCTTAACTGTCTGAAACTATAAGCCCCAAATAAAACTCTTTCTTCTATAATTTGCCTTGATCATTTTGTTTCTTCACAGTAATTGAGACATATCTAAAACAGTGGTTAAGAGCACACAGTGCTCTTTCAGGGTACCCAAATTCAACTCACAGTACCCAGTGAATGAATGGTATGGTAGTGGCTAACAACCATCTGTAACTCCAGTTCCAGGGGGATCTGATGCCCTCTTCTGGCCTCCTTGGGCCCTGCACACACATAAACAGACATATTGTCATAACAAGTCATTGGCAGAACACCCTGTACACTAAAATAATGTTTAATATGTGTATTATAAGAATGTTGATTATACCCTGGCTTTTCAAAATGTGAGCATTCAAAACAAACACAATATATTATGAACAAGTTCAAGAAATGACTGCCAACTTTGGAGTGACCTGTACAAATCACATACTCTGAACTTCAGTTTCCTTACCCGTAAAATGGGAGTAGTTAATAGACCCCCACAGTACCAGGTGCAAAAGGCCTTAATAGTATTTTACATATTCAAAGATAATTATTTCCAAGCACATGGAATAAAAGAAGTCACCCAAGAGTGTGGACAAACCAAACTTAAGGAAAAACAAATGAACAACAAAAACAAATGTGATTTTTTCTCTTCAGCCCTTTCTCTTCTTCCTAGCATTTGGACAACTGTCTTCAGTTATAACTAAATTTGTTTCTCCTTATGTTATGCAAGTTGATGGTCTAACTTTACACATCTCTGGTGTTCCAACCCCACTATAACTCTCTCAGTGCAGACCAGCAGTTTACACCAAATCAGTAATAAATTAATGCTCGAGAATTGGAACTACTAGGGAGGTTACTGACACCACTATAATTTAGCCTCAGGAACACAGGAGCCACCCACGGGAAGCATAAGAGTAGAAATGATTCCAGACTATCCATTCTTTTAACCACTAATTAGAAAACTTTCAGAAACAATTCTTTCGCTTTGGCTTATTTTGCTCTCAGCTCACAGCTAGGATAAGGGTGACATCTGAGAAGGAGGCTTACCTATTTGCAGCATTTCTTCAGTACCAGCCTGGAAAGGAGGGGTGGGAAGTAAGAAAAAGAAATGGTTACTGGGTTTCATCTTATCACACTGCACAGTTATTTCTACCATCAGTGCTTTTTGGGAACTGGCTAATCAGGAGACCCAGAGACTGGAGTTGCTGCCTGAAGGCTGACCCTTAGTTCCTAGAAGGCTCTTGTGACAGGAACATGAGCCAATTCTATGACTATATGACAAAGGGACTTGTTGGCCAGCTTTAATTTTAGTATCTGTGAAGGGAGTAAAATAGTGACCCTCAATGGTCTCTTCAGAAAACTCCAATACTAGGTCACGACAGGAAGTGGGGGGCGCGGAGGGGGTGTGTGTCTACATTTCACCAGGTGAGAGGCAGCCTGAATCCCAAGAATCAACTAGAGGAATGCCTCACTCTTAAAGCCCCGTGGTCAGACCAAGCAAACTAGAGAGGCTACAAAAACTTGCAGCAAAACTATGCACTGAGAGCCCATTGCTCCAGTGTGGATGTGATTTACTACAAAAGGCTCCCCAGCCTGAGCCTCCTTCAAGGGCTCTTCTGAGAACATCAGTTTCACCTTGAGTTTCCACAGGGTGGGGGCAGGGCCGAAAAGCACCAGAGCTGCACTCAATTTAGCTTTAAAAAGAGGAGGAGTTGTGCGGAGGGGGAGGGGAAGAGGCAGCAGACGCCTCCAGCTCCGGCTGCCCGCGGAAAAGGCGAGGGCAGGAAACGTCCCAGGCCCTCCCCAACTGTCAAACTGCAGCCCAGCCCCGGTCCTCCCAGGACACGTGTCTGCTGGGTAGCTCCGGGTCCTGCCTGGGGACTTCTTTAAACCTCTTATCCCTGGCTGCCCGGAGGAGCCGCGAATCAGGAGGAGGGGAGAGCCTGTGGGCTCCAGGATCTGCGACCCTAACTTTGCCAGAGCGCCTGGAGCGCCCTCGCGAAAAGGGGGGGATGGCCGATGGCCGGGCTAGGATGAGATCTGGCTGCAGTCTCACACCTGGACCGCTCCTGGTCACCGCGGGCTAGGGAATCCCCAAGTGTGATGAGCCGGAGCTCCCGGGGGATGGCTGTCCAACCTCCGGTTCAGCGAGCCCCCCCAGGCCCCAGCCCCACGCAGCGCCCGGCCCTCCACGCGCCGCCTCGGAACGCAGAAGATGCCCCAGAAGGGTGGCAGGGGGAGGAAGGGAGAGTGAAAGAGACGGAGGGGAGGAACTCTGTCGGGAAAAGGTTGGGTTTGAGTTTTTTATTATTATTTTCCACTTACTTGTCCATCAGCTGATGTCCTAACCTCTACCAGAGAGGCTGCTATCAACCAAAGTGACAGGAACACCATCACGAGTCGAGTGCACTTCGCAACTACTGGGCAAAGCAGCTACCCCAGCGCAAAGCACCCCAAAATAAGTTTCCTTTAAAAAGCGCAAAGAAAATGGAAGAAGGGGTGGGGGGGCGTGCAGAGCTTTAAAAAAAAATGATCTTGGGCTTTGCTCAATGAAAAGGCAACGTGAGCTGAGCGCCTGGCCCCGTGCCCTGTCGGTCCTTTCCACTTCACCTTCTCACCCTGTCCTCCCAAGCCGACTGTGAGGGAGCCAGAGGTGCTGCGAGCCGGGCAGAGGCTGACCCGAGCAGGGGAAGGAACCGGGGCGTCCCACTCTCTACCCCGGAGCTGCTTTTGCGAGGCTCTCGGAGCACCGTGGGCCGCCGAGGCTAAGCGCAGAGACGGCTCGGGTCCCGGGAGCGCAGCGGCGGGGAGAAGTGGGAGCCTGAGCCCAGCGAGCGGGAGAAAGAGGCAGCGCGAGCCCTGGATCCTCTGCCGCACACGCAGTGGGGGCGGGAGGACGAGGGGAGGAGGCGGCCGCCTAGGAGGAGGGAGGAGTGGGCCGCTCGCCCTCTCCGTTTGCTCGCGGGCCCGGGCCGTCTGCTCTCTGCCCGCGACCCGCGGGGCGCTAAAAAGGCGACCGAGTCACCCCCTCCCTCCTCCAGGCGGCCCCTCCCGCCGCGCGCCCACGTCACGCGGGGCCCGCGCCCCCCGGCGCAGGGTCAGGACTCGCACCTTCCCGGGGGCTGCGAAAGCGCCGCCTGGAACCCGCATCCCCTTGGTCTCCGTGATGGGACGAGGGGCGGGGAGGGTCCCAGGCGCGCCTCCCAGCCCGACTGGAGGAGGGAGGGGAAGGGTCGGCTCACCGGACCTGGGCTGGAGGAAATCACCTCCTCCAGCCTTTCTCATCCCCACCCCACCCCCCACCCACCCAGGCAGAGTAAAGTCTCGGGAGAGAAACCCAAGGACGTGGGAGATTTCCCCCCCCCGCAGACACTGGTCCCCTCCCACGCTTGCATGGGAGCAGGGGTGGGGGCCTCCCTCAATAAAGCTCTTGTTTATCCTTTATTCGTTTATATTAGTTTTCAAAGATACCGCCTTCCCTTTCTTGACTCAACCGGATGTTTCCGTTTATCACTAGAGTACACAGGCCTCGGGGTCTCTTGCTTACACCCAGATTAAGTTATCTAGTGGCTTATGCGGTTTGCAGTTTTCTGGGACCAAAGGACAGTGACCTGGGAGTTGCTGGAATCCCAGACCTACCTCCTCGGGATAGACCAGGGTGGCCCGGGACGGGGTGGGGCGGCGAGGAGGGAGTTCTCCTATCCTGGAGGGTCACCATCACCCAGGATCAGACCAGAGAGGAGGCTCACATTGAGGTGGAATTTTCAAGACTTCACCTGGAGATAGGGAAGTGGAGTCAGTCAGGTCCTGTTGGGGCAATCCAGTCAAGGTGTGATTAATTTTGCTATATGACTTCATAAATTGTTTATTCCTAGAGAACTAAAGGAGAGGCCATACTCTGGTTTATACATCGCACTGCGTTCATTGCTGTGTTGGCTCAGTCTTGTCAAAATCCTATAAGGAGGACATTTACAGGAACGTATGGGTAGTGCCCTCATGCAGGAACATCGTGTATTAGGCTAATTAGTTAATTATTGCTTAGAAGTATGATTAGACCCTCAGGACTGAAGGACCTCTAAATTGACTTACCCCTTTCAACTCCAGCCTACAGCTCTGTGGGCTGTCCTCACTTGAAGTCTAGGGATGAATTTCCTATCCATTAAAAAGCCTCAGCGTTGCATAACTTAAAAGCATGACCATTGCAGACAGGCAGGTAAAAGGATAGTGGAGGACAAACAGACCTAGGTTCTAGAAGCCTCCCTTGTCCCAACAGCTATCTAAGCAAGTGACTTTACCAAGTCCTGGAACTCCATGTTTTGTTTCTCCCTTTTGAGGAGATAATTTCCAACTCTAAAGCTCGCAGATCTGAAGTGTTGACAAATAATGTATTGTCCATGCCTCTACAGTGGTGTTCTGTGTCAGTTCACTATGCTGAGAGGTTTGTTGTTTGTCACTGAATGCCTTTTTCCTCACAACAAGCAACTCAGGGAACTTTCAGGAAAATGTGCTTCAGAACGTTTGGCCTTGACTCCGTGGGCGGGGGGGGGGCCGAGGGGGGCGGGGTTGTTAGTGTCACTCATTTGAAATTCCATTATTTGGTTCTGCCTGTTCTGCCTAGAACAACTCTGGTGTTTTCTGTCTGTTCGTTTTTTTTTTTTTTCTTTTCTCTAAGTTTTGTTTGGGACTCCCTAGATTTCACAACCTCCTGAGTCACCCATGACCCTCACTCTGACAAATGCTGATTTAAGCCCATGCCATAAGGTCTTTGTTTATCTGATTCTAAGGTGAGCTCTCATTAACAAGGTTCTCCCAACATAATACAAGACAGACCTTCACAAACTATTCCCTGGTTTGTTCACAAACTATTCCGTGTGTGTGTGTGTGTGTGTGTGTGTGTGTGTGTGTGTGGTGTGCGAATCTATCAGTCAACTAAAGTTTGTGAAATAAGCATAAAAAAAAAGAATGATTTTTTTTTATTTCCCGATTCCTAGGGACATCATAAAAAAAAAATCACATGGCTTTACTGTAAAGAGCCTAGCAGTTTATTGAGAACATGGTAAGGTCTTATGCATAAATTTCTGTAGCACGAGGGCATTCCTGCAGATAGCCTACTGGAGTTAGTGAATTCCTGTCCCAAACTGATCCTTCCTGTCTGCCTGGAATTAGCCCTGTCCCCTTCATATGCCTCAGCTGCAGCTATAATATTGGAGCAGAGACTGAGAGAATGGGTCTCACATTCTCCCGCCCAAGTAGAAGAGAGCTCGGTATACAAGAGACCATATATCTAAAACACAAAACTACTAAGCACTTGGAGGTACAGTTTCTTCCAAAATATGTTTCTCATTTATAAATAATTTCAGCAGTTATCCTACGTCTCATTAATACCTAGCATAATTTCCATCCAATGAGGGATGCAGAATACTTTACTATACTCTGAACATGTCCAAGCTGAAGAGTAGCTTCATCACCCTGACTAGTGTGAAGCTGTATTTTTGGATCTTGAGTTTTCTGACACCCGTTTTTTGTTTGTTTGGTTGGTTGTTTGGTTTGGTTTGGTTTTGTCACTTGTTCACTTCTGCCCCCCTTCCCAGACATCTGCTCCCACATCCTTCTCCCCATGCCTCCTCCTCTTTTCCTCTGAGTCAGTGGGGCCCCCTGGACATCCTCCCCACACTCTGGCACATCAAGTCTCTGTGAGGCTAGGGGCATCCTCTGCCACTGAGGCAAGATAAGACAGGCCAGCTAGAAGACCATACCTCACAGATGGGAACAGATTTGGGGATAGCCTCCCACTTTAGTTGTTCAGGGCCCGAATGAAGACCAAGCTGCACAGCTGCTACATATGTACAGGAGGCCTAGGTCCGGCCCGTGTATAGTCTTTGGTTGGTGCTTCAGTCTCTGAGAGCCCCAAGGGTCCAGGTTATTTGACTTTGCTGGTCATCCTGTGGGGTTCCTATCCCTTTCATAAGCCTGCAATCCTTCCCCCTGCTCTTCCATAAGAGTCCCCAAGCTCTCTCCACTGTTTGGCTGTAGATCTCTGCATCTGTCTGAATCAGCTGCTGGGTGGAGAAAAGCCATGCTAGACTACTCTTTGCAAGCATAACTGAGTATCATTAAGTGTCGGGGATTAGTGCTTTCCCATGGGATGGGTCTCAAATTGGGCCAGTTACTGGTTGGCCATTCCCTCAGTCTCTGTTCCATCTCCTATTCCTGAATTTCTTGTAGACAGGATAAATTTGAGGTCAAAAGTTTTGTGGGTGAGTTGGTTTCCCTATCACTCCACTGGGGTGCCTGCCTGTCTTAATTAACATCTCCTGTGATGGTTAGTTTTAATTACCAATTTGACATGATCTAAAGTCACCTGGGAAGAGGGATCATCTTGATAAAGTGGCTCATGGGAGTTCTTTGGGGGGGTCTCTTCATTGTTTTAATTGATATGGGAAACACAGCCCTCTGTGAGTGGCACCATTCCCTAGGTTTGGGCCCTGGACTTACATAAGGGTGGGGAAAGATACACTGAGTGACAAGCATGTGTGGATGCATTTCTTTCTGCTCTTAACTATGGATGTGATATGACTGTTTTAAGTTCCTGCCACCTTTACTTTTCTGCTAGGATGGACTGTAACCTGAACTTGGAAACTAAAAATAAATCTTGCTCTTCTAAGCTGCTTTTTGTCAGGATACTTTGTATAGCAAAGGAAATGAAAAAGTAAGCAACCCTTTAAATTTTAAATTGCAGGATGAACAGATGTACCAGAGTCTCCTTTAACTCCAGTTTTTATTCTCAAGATTTTAGTCACCAATAATCAACCCCAGCTTGAAAACACTAAACAGAAATTCCAGAAAAGAACAAATTATACACTTTAAATAATTTTCAATACAGCATATTTCAATACATTGCTATAATTGCTGTTACTTGTTATTATTAGTTTCCCACTAGGCCTAGTTTGTATTCCCCACAACACAAAATTTATAATTCCTGATTTCTTTAGTGTTTTGTTTTATTTACTTCTGGCTATGTAGTTTCCACACGCTTTTATTATATTTAACTATTATTGCCAATCAATAATCATTAGATGTCTTGTATTTTTTGATTAAAGAAGTTTGTAAAGTTCAGTACTCACCTTTATTTGAAGGGAAGATCAGAGGGTTACTGCAGCATACGTCGCTAGATTTGTGTCTGTCTTCTCTAAATTCCAAGTTCTTCTGGGCCTTATTCACTTTCCATCGACAGCTCCCGACAATTTCTATCATGATGCATTTCCCCTCCTCCTGAAGAACTCTGCTCCCGGTCTCTAGTACAGAGGGTATTAGAGTAGGTACATGGAGCTTGCCACTATAGAACAGTGAAAGCTGCTTCATCTGAGATCTCACAACTCTGACTCTTGCATCCTCATAGGACACAGGGCTTGCAGCAGGAGAACACAGAGATGACAGCAACTCCCCACACAGCATTCATCCTTAGTCTCTTCTCTTCTCTGTCTAATAAAATACTACTTTTTGCTCACCAATCAGTGCATGCTATGTGTACACTGCAATAAATATGTGTTTTTTGACCAAGGCATTATTTGGTGTTGGTTAGCAGTTAGGATGTTGAACCCCTCACTCAGAGGCAGTCTCCTGGTACACCGCACATCTTGATGGAATGTTTGCAGAATGAGTAGCTCTCGGCTGCTTCTACTAAACAGAGTAAACTACACAGTGCATTTGCTCTAGTACAAACAACTGAGCTACATCCAATCTGCTTGCCTCTCTTCTCCTTCACATTTTCAAAAGCCTATTTGAAAAATCTAGAAACCGAAAGTCAGGAAAATTCATGAGCACAATGATCAAGAAACTTCCGAT